GATGCCCTCCTGGTTATAGAAAGGCTGGTACTCAGAGAACTGAGTTCACAATTAATATATGATTGGGTAAATGTTCCACATTAATGCATTTTTTGTTTATTCATGATTTAGTGAGTAAACCACAATTGGCTGGCACACTAAATCATAATGCATGCTGTACAAATCACAGATGCTGGGTTTGCACAAGACACTAAGCCAAACCCAAACAAACCACATTACAGCTTCAGGCGTACAATATGCAAACCAGCTACTATGATGATCTTTGACTTTGGTCAAATCATCATTCCTAGCACAACTTAAATAACACACTCACACAGTATTTAAATGCATAGTAGACAAGGTTTTGCTCCAGGTTAGCCAGTGTTAAAAACCAGATATCTATTGGAGTTACTTGCACTAATTCTAGGTATTGGGTACTAGCCCAAAGAGAAAAAGATGCTCAGGAATAATAATTAAGGAAAGCCCAATAAGGAATGTGTTACAGTAGCCTAGCTAACAAAAGCATTAATGAGAGCTGCCACTCTTGGTTGAGCAGAAAGTTTCATAGCCTATTTACAAGATAGATGGTGCAAACTGCAAATTATTTCATTACACAACATGTAGTTAACCTATGAAATTCATTAACACCAGACACCATGATGGCCAGCAATTTAGATACTTTTAAATGGACAGCAGAAAAATGAGTAGATGATCAAGCAATCCATTACTACTCATTTTGATGGCTGCACGCTACCCCCAGAATCAGAGCATCCTTCCAGTGCCTGCTGCAAGGGAGCAGCCCTGGAAGACAGCAGTTGTCCTCTCCTCTCATTTTTGTGTCTCAGATGCATCTTGCCAGCCAGCGTGCAATCAGAGAATGCTAAACTAAAGTGGGTCCACATTTGGTCTCAAAAGATATTTCTCATGCTCTCACCCTCCAGCACCAAGAGAAAGCTTCAAGTTCAAACTGGGAACATTTATGTAAACTTCTTACAATTCACCCCAAAGGCATCAAGGCCAAGCACAGCATTGTCAAGCCTACACTGCCCTCCACAAGGCTCCAAAACCTGTAGAGAAGAATGAGTCAACCGATGAGTCAGAGAGGAGGCTCACACTAAGAGACAAGATCCAATTATCAAACAGAGCTGACATCCAGTGAAAGTGGGGCTCCACTGATAAACAAGGGGGTGCAAAAGGAGCTGTTAAAACCCTGCAATGGGACCAGTCCCTCCCACGGTACTTGTGAGAGAATGGCCTTAAGCCCACAAACAGCAGATATAACAAGCCCTGCATGGAGTTGCTTTGCCACAGCAGTCAATCATGGGTGGTGAGCTGTGACAGCTGTATGCAAACAGTAGAAATGGGCTGTTTTCACACTAACCCAAAATGTGACTTGTTTGTTGCTGACTTAACGAGGGGGTGGTAGCTGAGCACCTCACAGGATACACTGATGATGCATTGTGAGTAGGATAGTGTTATGTACAAGAACAGGGATTGAGGGGGAAGGTGTTCAAAGAGGGTGGGACTTATTTACTTATCTATGTTGTCTATTTTTTGCATAAACGTCACTCTTCATGGACTCAGAATCAAAGGAAACTAGAATTCAGTGATGTAGCCAACAGGAGTTGGGGGGCTAAAAAGAAGAAAAAGAGAAGAGTCCTACGCCCTTGGGACTACAGGTTGACTCCTTGGACTTCTCTTGCTGTGCAAACCCAACCGCTTGTGGTTTATTCTGCAAATTAGGATTGGTGTGATGTGTAAACCCAACTTTCTCTGGCCATCAGTCACTGGGAGGGCAACATGGGGATGTACAAGAGAGAAAGCTCTTTGTGCCTTGCTTGCTGTTTTCCCCAAAACCATCTGGTTGATGACTGTAGAAAACTGGGTGCTGGGATGACAGGCTGCTGATTGGGACAAACACATCCCTGTCAAGTCCACGCCTGCTGTGGCCATTTACTTGTAGCTGGTTCCTGGGAACAAAGCCAGCCTGCACTGGTTCACTGAAGCATGCCATCAAAAAAAGAAAGAAAAACATGGCAAGGAAGAGAACGTATTTTCTCAGCCTTGCCAACCTGAATTTAAAACGATTAAAAGCAGAATCCAGAGCGAACAACTGCATAAAACATGAGTTGCCTAACAGTCACTTCACCCTATTAAGAACTCTTGCAACAGTTGCATTTTAAAGCATCTCTTGTTGTGATACAAAAGGTCTTCTAGCATTTGCATTCTTCTTGTTTGGCATCTCTGGACCTACTTCAGGGGTGCATGATCTGCAGCCTCAGGGTTCCCTGTAGCCTTCCTTTCCCAAATCCTTGGATATGACCATCAGAGCCCTTTCAAAAGTTTCTGCTGAACTGGAATTTTTTAATATAGCAGGATAAAAAAGTGCAATACAAAGGAAAGTAAAACAAAATAACTATAATTCATTAATTTAATTTTAGTTAGATTCAATTGTTTTTGTCCTGGCCCAAAGTGCAATTCCTAAGGCCAAGGGTAGGTTGAAAAATGTTGTCCAGTCAAGACTTATAGGAAAAATAAAGGGGTGTCCATGATGGGACAGGGAAAGAATGTCATGCACATTGTATCATCACCATGAAATTGATGTACATTATGTCATTTGGGTCAATCACAACTGTTACAATTATATAATGAATGTTGTTTGCATGATGACATCGTAATACATGTGATGTCACTATGGCTCATAACCAATGCCTATGGCTACATATTAGTAAACGTTTCATAACACCTCCACATTATCCAGATTCACAAAACATGTTAAGATAAAAGCTATAGCTTACAAACCATAATAGCAGTATGCTAAGCCAAGCCAAGCCATCTACTATGACTAGCATGTTGTGTGGACTGGGTTAGAGACCAGAATAATAGCAGAAGCAAAATATAAAAATTTGCTCATCCTCAGAGTGCACGGTTTCCAAAGACTACTGAAATCCATGCACACTAGATGCAATTCTAACACCACAACATATTTAAGATACAGATGAGGCAATTGTAGAGCTGGTTCAGACAGTCAGGGTGTGCTTCTGATGTGCAAAGCATGCACAGGCTAGGTTCACACATTATGTTAAGCCATACTGTATTCGGATTGGTTTCAGTTTAATGTTTTGTCTGAACCCACCAACTGTACAGCAATGACTAGGAATATTAAAATATGGCTTACATTGAATCAACGACTGATCCATGCTGAATATTCTGGCCCATGAACACACAAGGGTGAAGGGGAACAAGTGATGTCATATGCATAATAATGTCATCACTTTTATTAAACAAATTGAATGAATCATTTGCCCAATGATGTCATTACCTATGAGATGATATTGTGGCTTCTAGTGATCATCATCATACTCTGACTAGCGAGAGCTCTGCACAATTTCAGACAGAAGTCTATGCAAACCCTACCTGGAAACACCAGATATTGAACCCAGGTCCATCAACAGGCAAAATACATTTTCAACCAGTGAGCTATGGCTCTGTGTTTGTCTTACACATGGAAAACCAACCAAGTGATTTTTCCCAATGGGCGTTCAAGTGTATGGTTATAAGTAGCATTTGGACATTCCACCTCCATCGATGCATCCAGGCATGGTGGCAACAGATGGGGAACAGCGTGCCTTCCATGTGCCAAGCTGGATTGATGGGAAAACGCTTACTGTCAGAACTTTATCAAACACAGAGAACTACTGTTGTGCCCAAGAGCACTAATCTTCACAATTTATGCAGTGGAGGAGAATTGCAGTAATCGTGTTTACTTTCTTCAAAGCCACACCAAAGCGATGCCCGAAATGCTCCTGAATGTACCACCACAGTATGGAATTAAAGTTACACTACATTTTCTTTCAAGCTAACCTGTTACAAAAATAAAACTGGAGAGTAGAAACGTGACCCCAATAAAGCATAAAGTTTTACGTCAACTTTTATGCAATAAAGTATAGTAATCTACTATTACAGTAGACCTGTTATTGCTCTTGCCAGCTTTTTTGTTATTCTTCTGAAATTTCTTTTCAGGATCTCTGTACAAAATGACTCAGGTGACCCGATTCTAATTTGCATTCTTCAAAATAGCAAAACCCAAACTGACCCTTAGCATCGCATTAACATTTCCTGTAAAGAGAAAGATCAGTTTTTCTAGTCATCTTCAACACCGCATCTTGAATAGTTTATTCCGTAGAAGCCCTTTAAAAAGCTAAAAACAGCCCCAGCACCTGCAGTTCGAAAAAGACAATTGCACATTGGAACATTCTCATGTTCTGCTTTCTGCAAGATTTCTCTTAGGCCGAACTTCATCGGAGATCTTTGCTATCAGGATGCACAGCTGCATAAAGAGCATCACAGGGTAA